GCCCGGCACCGCGGCCGGCCACAGGAGGCAGACGAAGCGGAGAGTGAACAGAACCTCTCTCTTTCCAGCCGTTCTTTGACAAACTGTGTTAGATTCCAAGCATGGGCAACACATAACACAGGCCCCAGAAGTGGCACATGGAAACAGTGTTTCAGCTGCTCCAGCTGAAGTAAAGGACAACGGCAGCAGGAGAGAAAGCCACCACCTCCGCCCACAGGGCTTGCTTCCTAGCAAGGAGGGAATAGGGGGGAGGCAGGCTCAGCTATCTGATGTGGAGTCCCCATACCTGTTCGAGGGATGATGATTATGAACCTCCCGCTGGTGGCCAGCTGCTTGACAACAGCCAGGTGCTGGCAGAGGGCCTGGGTGTCCGGGACAAGGTAAGGAGACATGGCTGACTGCGCTTTGGGCTGCTGGAGACTTCCCTCCAGCTGAGAAACCTCCAGCTGAAAAAAAAAACCACACATGCAGAGACACTTGCTTCACATTTATGCTGAAACAAATGATCAAATAGGGCAAGACTTGCCCTGCAAAGCTCCACCGGACCCTTCCAACCACCCAGCACATGGAGCAGAGGGCTGGATGCAGCCAGTGGGTCAGAGGGAGGTGATCGTCCCACTCTGCACTGCACTGGTGCAGCCCACACCTCGAGTACTGTGTCCAGTTTTGGGCACCTCAATATCTGAAGGACACCAGACTCTTATAGTGTGTCCAGAGGAACGTGGCCAAGATGGCAAAAGGTCTCGAGGGCAAGACTTATGAGGAGAGGCTGAGGTCCCTTGGCTTGTTCAGCTTGGAGAAGAGAAGGCTGAGGGGTGACCTCATTGCTGAGAGGTGACCCCATGGCAGTCTACACCTTCCTCAAGGAGGGCAGTGGAGGGGAAGGTGCTGATCTCCTCTCTCTGGTGACCAGTGACAGGACACGAGGAGAAGGAATGAAGCTGCGTCAGGGGAAGTGCAAACTGGGCGTGAGGAAAAGGTGCTTCACTGAGACGGTGGTCGGCCACTGGACCAGGCTGCCCAGGGAAATGGGTCATGGCACCAAGTCTGTCGGAGCGCAAGGAGCATCTGGACAACGCTCTTAGGCACACGGTTTAGTTTTAGGCAGCCCTGCGAGGAGCAGGGAGCCAGACTCGATGATCCTTATGGGTCCCTTCCAGCTTGAGATTTTCTACGATTCTGTCTTTGCAGAACAGACTCACTGCCTCTGTGTGGGAATGAAGCAGAGAGCTCCCCCTTCCCTTCCTAGTTTCAGACATTTCAGCCACTACCCTGCCAGTTTTCAGGCTGGAACCAGCATCTAAAAGATGACCTCTAAAGGTCCCTTCCAACCCAAAGCATTCTATTGGTCTACGATCTCCTACCTGGAGTCGAAGCTGAGCCATATCTCTCATCAGCCTGTTCCGACGAGCTTCCTCTGCAGCCTAGTTACAGAAACAAACTTCCATATCAGTTAGCAGGAAACACACAAGCTGATACGGCACACGGTTCCACAAACAGGCTGAAAAGGGGACACCCGAGTAGCTCTAAGGAGCAAAACTTGCATCTCCCACCAAAGACCTGTGATTATAGCTACAATATAATAGTAATCTGCAGGAAATTGTGCAAAGTACAGAGAATTAGCCCACCTCTGCCAACTCACCATGTGAAACTGGGCTTGGGCCTGGTGCAGCAAGTTGTCTTGCTCCGACTGTGCTATGCTGATGAAGATCCCAAGCTCCGAGTTGAACTGCAGGATGCTGCCTTGCAAGTGGGTAATGAAGTGGCCAAAGCTCCGAATGCAGCAAATCCGAACAACAGACTGCAAAGAAGCAGACAGGCAATCACCAGCCACGTCTCCCCACGGGGTTTGTGGCCTGAGCCAGCGCCGACCCTGCAGCTCACGTTTTTGGAAGAGGCAGAAACTGCTGTTAAAAAAAAATCCAAAGGAAACATTTCTGATGGAAACGTGCTTCTGAAGACAGAAACTGCAGGAGAGGGCTGCAGGACAGCCTATAGTTGGCCAGAAAGCCTAGAATTGCTGGCAGTCTGGGCTCGCCCAACTCAAGAAAACCTCAGAAAAACATCAACAGGCTCTCCCCCCGAATCTCTGCTCAAGCCCTCCGCGCTGGAAAAAGGAATCAAATAAAACAACAATCTATATCTGATTCTGGGGCAAGCACCACTCTGGGCTGGGCTGCTGAGCAAAGCAGCAGAAGGTGAGCTCACGTGGGATGTGAGATTGCTGCACTTTGCTCCAGCTGCCCCGGCAGCCTGAGATGGCACTCAAGCCCTCAGCCCGCTGGCCCGTGCTTTAACAGACGTGGGTCCCACACCACGCGTCAGAGCAGTGCCCTCAGTTCGAGACAGAAGACGTGAACGCACTCCCTGCTCCCAAGGAAGCAGACTGGTCTAGCGAAGCAAGACAGGAGAAGAACAGTTGTCTTTCTCTGCACATCTCCACTACCCAGAAACAATCACCTTGGCTCTTTGTGCTTGGGAAAACAGACAGAAGTGCTCGACAAGGGCACAGAGTGCCACAACAACTGAGATTTCACCAACTTTTGCATTCACTAGAGAAGGATCACATGAAGTATCCTGCAGCTCCAACCAAATTCCCTTCCTTCAAGGCAGGGCAGAGATAACAACTCTTTGCCCAGACAGGGAGCTCAGGAGACTTCAAGCAGCAAAGCTGTCAACATGTGACTCTGCTTCCTTTCATAATGACTCTGACGGGGAAGAGATGGCAAGATAATTATCTGAACACTGATTTTTTGGACAGACAGACCACTGCAGCAACCACCAAAAACATGAACCCATCTCAGATTCAAAAGTTTGAATCAGTCTGGGGTCTTTCTTGGCAAGAAAGAGCTAGATCTTCACCTGCACAGCTAAGACAGGCTGCACCTCCAGCAAGGGAAACGCAGCTTGTGCCCAGATCAGGATTTACCCCGACTCACCTCCTCAGCTGCTGAGAAAACGGGCCGGTCCTGCTCAAAGTTAAACCTCTTGTGTGCATTTTTCAGAGGGGGAAGATTTCGCAGGGCCACATCTTCTGGGAGCAGCAAGTTGGCTTTCAGGTCTGGGAGCTCAGCGCCACTCAGAATGTCCTTGACTTCATTACACAGGGCCAGCCCTGGAGAGGACGGAGGGGAAGCACAGCAATATACAGTGACTTCAGCAACTGATGTGGGGACAAAGGGGAAAGCTGCTTTAAGGCACACAATCTGTAGTGGTCAAGGGCAGAGGTTTAAGTCACATGTGTACCATGAGCATGTGTGGAAGGAGGAACAACAAGGCCACTCGCAATATAAAGAGCAACTGTGCCAAGCACCCTGCTGAGGCGCATCACTTCGGAGAAACTGTAGTTTGGAGGGCTGGCTTTCCCATTTGTTCCAAGAGACAAGCATGCCTGTTTAAAAGATGCTTCTCATGAACCATGGGGATCTTTAGGCTGAGGTACAGTGCGCATCACGAGCTTTTGGAGCTTCTAAACTAGCTTCCACGACTGCCATGACAAAAAATCATACTTACTTATGGTCTTGACAGCTAATTCCAATCACGTTGGCCACACAAGGACTTCAGGCACACCGGTTTGAGTGTTTCAGTACACCATCAGCCACATATAATGCATTCATAGAACTAAAGTCTACAGCACAGTATTTAACCAGAATGGTGTTTAAACATAAAAACAACACATGCACGATGTCGTTCCCCATCGTGCTTATCAGCAAACTGCTACTGGCAGATCTCTCCCCCGGGATCTATCACACACCATGGAAATCACCGCCGACTACGCTTGCTGAAACATTGCATTGCCGCTTCCTCCTCCAGTACCTGATTCCTGCAGGTCCGCAGCAGAAGGCAGAAGGTTCAGGAGCACAGACAGCCTGTTCCACAGGCTCTGAGAGCTCTGCAGGAACAAAACACAAAAGGCCACAGAATATTTCAAGACAGATGTATGCGATAATCAGACCGCTTGGGCTTTCCAGCAGCTTTCACAGACCTCAGAATGCTTTATGAAGAGTCAACTTCACTACACTTCTTAGGTCAAGATTATCTTAACTCAGCTGCTGGAGTATTTAACACCACCTTCTGCCCAGGACAGGGGCAGTAGCTTCAATCTGTCCTTAGCATCCCAGCCCAGGGGAACCGAACAGATGCAGCCTTGGACCGAACACCAAGCACAGTTCCCACCTGAGCACACATGATGATGAGGTCCGTGTTCGTCCTCAGCCAGTCCAGGAACACCTTGACAGTGAGAAGCAGCCCTTCGTTGGTCACAATCTCTAGCTTCTCCTGAAGGGATCGCTCATTCCTGCAGGATTTGTTACTTGAAACACTCTCCTCGGAGTCAGAGACGTCATCTGGAAAGTGAAGGGAAAAGCAGGATGGCAGGCATTAAATCCCTTGAGAAGCCAAGCCCCACTGGTATGAGAACAGCGCTGGGTTGGTAAAGAGTTGAGCTGAACCTCTCGGTGCCTCCACATAACCTCACCAAATCAGTTCCTTGTCCCCTGTGCCGTTGATAAGAGCATAGCACTGTTGCATTTTCTTCTTCGTTGTGAGAAGATTGCTAAAATCTCTCTGTGAAATTATAACAAATGCCTTAGCCCCTGCAGCAGCCTCCGAGACGCTCGCTAACAGAGCAGGGGGAAGCAGCACGTGCCAGCACAAGGACCATATAATTTATTGCAGAGAACAGAGCCAGCAATCGCTGTTTAGGTCAACGTGTACCCATCTTCGGGCTACGCAAGAGAAGCAAGTGGTAGGGCTATTTTATCAGCCAGGGCCCAGGTGATTTTAAATATCAAATATGCTTTGCAATCTTGTAATTCTACAGACCTGAGGTTCTCAAAGCCGCTGCCAATGAAACTGCATGCCAGCTACACGAGTGACCTGAGGTCAAGGTAGCAGCAAGCTGGGAATTAACGACACATTTTGCTACAATCTCTTATTTTAATTGCACCGTCATCTCTGCCTATTGGCACAGCAATTATCATTCAATAAACCCTCAATATCAAAAGGGAGGAAGTAATTTATTCAGAAACCATCCCTGATAGAGTGGTAAAGACCATTAAACAGCTCGAGTTTTGAAAGAGCACAGCTGAGCGCTCAAAGCTAAAAAACACACAGGTAATTCATTCAACCTGGCTCATTCAACCTCTCATTTTCTGTATCTATAAAGGTATCGTGGCCACACTATTCAAATACATTCCTGGAGCCGCAACATCTGTGTAACCCATCGAAGGAAAATGTTAAACAGACCAATAATCGTTTGTTTTCTTCCTTTACTCCTATTCCTTTTAAGTGGCTATGAAGCAACGCCGGGAGCCAGTAAACATTAACATGATCTAATACCCCCCCCTTCAGCTCCCGGCCCAGACACAGCCTGAATCTCGCCAGTGCTGCAGGCTCGCTGAATTTGGCAGCACGATGCAAAAATGTTTCCTTGCTCCGGGGAAGCCGGGAGGAATGACAAACAAGACCGAACAGGCCCACGTGGTTTTATCTGAAATACAAACAACTCCCTGTAGTGCATCGGATCTCCCTTTCAAGCTGGTGTTTTGTTGATTATTTTTTGTTTTCTTGTTGGTTGTTTTTTTTACCCCAGAACGTTACCCAGTTGTGTAAGTTGCAGGGTAATAGAGACATTGCAGCTCCACCTGCTGTGCATCTGCAGTTTGGTTCAGCCCTGAGCACTCGGCAAGACAGCGTCCAGAGGGTGGCAGCAAGAGGCCCTCAACTCCTCTCGCACGCGCCTAGGTCACATCTCACAGACGAGCTCCTGTGAGAGCTCTGCAGACCTGATCGTCTGACATTTCGTGGAGAACTTCCTGGACCCCATCTGCACTGTCCAACACCAGAAGCGCTAGCCAGTGTCTGATTAGAAACATTTCACGTGGGAAATAGGAAGATAATCCAAGTTTTTAGTATCTGCTGGAATTATCCTCTGTATTATCAGAGCTGCTCAGCATCTAGCCTGCTGAGCAGAACAACGGATAACCCTGGCTGGCTGCAGGCGTCTCCTTTGCTTAGTGCACGTATTCCTGGATGTCAGGCAGTAAAGAGTAAAGCTCCTCCTCAGGAAACACCCAACCCAAGACCCGCCCAGTACTTGGGCAACCTTCTCCTGCAAACCCGGACGAAGGAGAACTTGCACTGTGTAGCAAACAGACTGCTACAGCTTGCAGTTTTCTACGCAGAACCACAACAACAAATATTTTGAACGAGGTTGCTGATCCTTACCTTGCTCTGCCAAGCTGGGCTTCTCCAGATCTCCGTTGACACACGGCTTGCTTTCTATCCCATCCTTCAAGACGGGTGGTTCGCTGTTCGGTTTCAGAAGGATGTTGCTGAAAGTGGGAGCCAACCGAAAGCAGCGTTTGGTCTGAAACAGCTGGGTGGACATGGCCTGGAGATTACTCGCTATGCTTGCGTCGTTAGTGCTCAGGGAAGCTGGCCCATTGACTGCTGGATCCGGAGCCTCCATCTTAGAGATGCCTGGGCTCTTGGAGTCCCCCAGCCCACTGCCATCCACACAGTTTTTTAAGACCTCTTTGGGCCCACTTTTGCCTCGGCCATTTCCCTCCTCACCAGGCTCATCCTCCATGTCCTCCAAGTCGGACCGAGATTCTTGGCTGTTCATGTCAGAGTCTGTCTCTACATCAAAAGCTGCTTCTGCTTCCTCGTCACTCTTCTCTGAGCCACTTTCTGAGCCATCACTGCCCTTTATGGAGCCCTGGCTGGAGTCAGAGTCAAAGCCCTCGCTCAGGTCACTCTCATCCACCTTCTGGGGGTGGCGGCGGCGACGCAAACAGGAGAGGCGGGAGTATTTCTTGCTTTTCTTGCAGTCATTCTTCCGTTGTTCCTCGCTGGGCTGATGATTGGCCAAGTCAGCTTCAGCTTCCTTCTCAATCGAGTTCAACGGCTCGCGTGGCTCCTGGTCATCTGCAGGCATTTAAAATGAGACCACAAGTTAAGAAAGTCTCGATGTGTCACACAAGCTGCTTGCCAGCCCTGAGCCTGGGGAACCAGCAGTGCCGATTTCAGCCATCACTTCTTTTAGTGTCTTTAGCCAGAGACCAAGCCATGGCAACCCTAGAAGAATGACTCACTTTCTAAAAGGCAACCAGAAAGACTGGGGCAGCCTGGATTCCTACTGCCCAAGCTGTGCTGCTCCGTTATCAGGCAGCCTCAGTGCCAAATGCTGCCAGACCAGCATAAAATACACAGTCGAATTTTAAATCTTTTCCCCAGCCTTCTACAGTCTGAGAGCCAAGTGAGCACCAGGCAGGGCAAAGGCATGTGCCAGTCAGCTTGACTAAACCACCGACTCCACCCTGTAACCAGACAGAGTTGACCTAATCCCTTCCTTCAGCTAGCTCCCAGCCTTCCCAGCAGTTCTGTGTCACCCAGCCAGCTTCAAAAGCCAGGCAGGGGAGGGGGCATTCATCGCTGCTTTTGACCAGGAAAACTCTAATGGTGCGTTCTGTGAAATATTACAAATTGACTCTTTGCAGGGGAAAGATGTAGCAATTTTATTCTCTGCTGAACAGGATCCCTCAGAAACTAAAGAACTGTTTTTGTCTAAGCAGAGACGAGGTGTGCTGAGCAGGGCCCACCTCCCTTAAACACTGCTCTGCCTGGGTCTTTCACCAGAGATCATCTCCTCAGTGGAAGAGAAAAAGGGTCCAGTAAATAAAAGCAAACAGAGACAGAAAATCAGTAGCACAGATTGGGGTAAACAGACGATGAACGAGCTGCCAAGAGATACAGAAAGCTAACTCTTTACAACAAGGAAAGCAACAATTTCATCCTGTGATGATTCTGATACTCACAGAGAGCGTCTAAGCAGAGACTGTCTCGGCGAATTACCCACCTTTGGGGACTTCAGCCCAGCAGTCAAAGATCAAGATGTCTCCAGCATCACTCAGGCACTACACTACAAACCCCACAGCCAGGAGATTTAGGAAAGAAAAGTAAAAGCCAGCCCTAGAGGGAGGCAACCGGCGAGACCCAGCTCTGTCCTCTTACCCGTGCCATCGCTCTGAAAGGCTGGGACTGGATTCTCCCCTTCTTCCAGCTCTGCCTGCAGGCGAATGTTGACGTGATTTATCAGGTGAGAGAAGAGGGCCAGCGTGAACGCGATGGCTGCACTGTACTGCTTTGAACCTGCAATGAGACAGCGTAATGAGGTGGAGGAGAGACTGACCACTAAAAACACGAATGCCAATTAAGACAACACCTTCAGCCTAACCGGACTGCTGAACGTTAATCACTAAACTTCTGAAGGGCTGAATAAAGCACTGGTTACCTGCCCTCTTGAGGCTGTGAACACTCATCAGGCAGATGATCACCATGCGAAAGATCAGGAGATCTGGAAGGAAGGAGTAGCCACTCTCGTACTCTTCTTCGTCTTCACTACTTGAGCTCAAATTAGGAGGAGAGGGCAGGTAGAACAAGCACAGGTTGAAATCCTCCAGCACAGACTGGCAGAGAGATGTCAGCTCAGAATCCAGAGCGCTGAACAAGACGAAAAAATAAACTAGAATTATTATTCAAGACTCAAGCTCCTGGCAGTATCTGCATGGAAACTGAACCAAAACTGGCAGCCAGGCTATCCTTTAGCACCAGACAGGATGAAGCACCAGGGAATACACTGCAGGCAGCAACAGCTATGGCAAGCAAGTGAGATGAATCAGATTATGTTTTCCTCTCCAAAGGTTCTAAACTCCAGACAAATGGTAGCTAGAGCACCTCCCTGCAAAGAGAAGGGTCACGAAAACACGTATGGCTTTCTCCCCGGGAGCTCAAGCAGTAGCCTTTAAGATACACTGGACACTTCAATGCTAAAAGTAGCAAAAGGTTTGGATCCACCGCTCAGTTAAAGGATGACATCGTAGTGCTCCAACTAGGGACTTCACTTTTCCTCCTCCCACGGCTCTAACTTGCAGCCCCGTAAGAATATTCCAAAATCCTCTATAGCTATTAGCTACTTCAAAGGAAGCACCCACTGGATTCAGTACGATGGGCTATGGGAGTCTCCTAGTTACAAAATAAACTCGTCTGCAAAACATCTAGCAAATCCTTTTCAGGGGGCAACATGCTTGGGAAATTTAATTAATTTCCAATTTTCTTATGCGCTAAATATGTGTTAAGCGGATATTAAATGAGCCTTGAGGTTCCACTCTGGTATAAGTCAATACTCTAAAGCTAATCCCATACTGGGCTGCACTAGCAAGGGCACAGCCAGCAGGCTGAGGAAAATTATTATTAACCCTCTCTGTCTGGCACTCACAAGATGGTATCTGGAGTACTGCATCCAGTCTTGGGGTCCCCAGTACAAAAAACCTACCAACCAAAAAGACACTGACAAACTGGACTCAGTCCAGCAGAGGACTGTCAAGGGGAACACAGAACATGATGTATGAGAAGGGGCAAAGAGAACGGAGTTTGTTCAGCTTGAAAGGGCTTGGGGTGGGGATAAGCTGCTGTTCTCAGACGCCTAATAGGTGGTTACAGAGGACTGAGTAAGACTCTTCTCAACAGCGTGCAGCACAAGGGACGGGAAGCAATAGGTACAAGCTGCAGAAAAGGAAAATGAGACTAGATGCAAGGAAAAAAAAAATTTCACAGTGAAGGTGGTCAAACACTGGAAAAGGGACAAGAAGGGTGCGGAATCTCTGTCCTTAGATCCATTCAAAACTCAGCTGGGTGAGGCTCTGAGTAACCTCATCCAACTTCACATCTGAATCGACCTTCACAACAGACCCTACTCTGGGGGAGGACTGGACCCACAGCAGGACCCTTCCAACCTAAACTGTTTGATAACGAGTTTCACATAGCCTGTGTCTAAGCTCGTTAAAACATCTGCTCTATTTCAAGCAGCAGGAGGTTAATTTACAATCACCTGAAAACCTCCCAGCAGACAATGAAAATCCAAGAAAGTAACAAAAAAACAAAAAAAAACAAAACAAAAAAAATCACAGCTCTACAAAGCTTTCCATTTATTCTAACATGAACAGGTTATGCTATTTTTCTGAACAAGGTATTTGGTTACAGATTTCCAAATGCAGTGAACAGCCCTGCACGCGTACAGACAGTGACTCTTTGCTGTCCCATCAGCCTAAAGCCAGTGCTTGCCAGGAAAAAGCATTTGATGACTGAACAAAGTCAGAAAACGCCAAAGGCATAGCACAGCACAGAGATGAGCTGCGAGGCTCAGGGGTTCAACGTTCACTCAGCTACTAGCTTGATGTAGCCAGAGTCGCAGTGTTTTTAACCCTCTGTCTTCCTAGGGAGGCTGAAATACCAATCTTCTTCACTCTCCCTGCAAGGTTAGAAGACTAAAGTCTTGGGCCTTTTGGCAGAAAGCCTCAGTACAGGCACGGTTATCCTACCAGGAACAGTCTCTTCCAATTCTGAATGCCTGCTACTGTGAGTTATCAATAGAAGATATAATCTGTCGTAACCTTACCTGCTCTTCGGCTGCAACAGACTCTGCAGGTACATAAAGCTCACCAGCAACCTCTTAATGTCTTTGCCTCTAAAAAGATTGAGAAGGAAACACTGTAAAGCAGGTGCCCCGTCACAGAGATGGACTAGACTAACAGAGCTCTATTAACAGCTAAACCAGGTCTCAACTGAAAACCACATTCCAATGAAACTGCAGAAAAAAGACAGCTTACACACTTCTAACTTTCACCAATATGACTCAACTCTCATGAACCTCACCAGCTCCAGGGGAGAGTGAGAAAATCCCTCACCTCAAACTCTACACCCAGGCAGCATTTAGCTTTTCTCCTGAAATTATGACCCGAGAGATCAGGAATGGGATCTAGACTGGGGCTCTCAAAATTCTGCGAACAGTCACTGCCTCAAATGGGCCATTTACTGGTTTCCACTTCCCAGAAAGACACTACTCTCAACCCAGAGGATGGCACTGGTGCCATTGCAAGCCTTCAGCCTTCACCCCTCTCCTTTTCTTTTCCCTCTTACCGTTTCTTGCTTGGAGACAACTTCCTGGTTTCACATTTCTTCAGCTGGTGATACATTTTGGCTGCTTTGTCATACAGCCGCTTCAGGTTCCCATAGGCCCCTTCAAAGGACACTTCAGACTGGATACTGAGATATCAAAACAGAACACATTAAAAGCTCCCCTGCCATCAGGCTGCTTGCATTTTACGGCCCTCATTCACTAGAACATTATTCGGGCATCTAAGCATGCAGACAGGTACCTAGTGCTTTTGTTTGAACACGCTGGGCTACTTAACTCCCACTGGTGTCTGCAAACCCCACTCCAAGCTGCAGCGCAGCTCCATCTGCGGTGTGTACACACCTTTTTGAATCTGTGCCTTAAGGCCATGTTCAGACAACTGAATTCCACCCACCTCACTACACGGGGTGCCTCACTCAGCACCTCCACTTCCCTTCAAACCTGGCTCTCTAGCACAGGCAGAGGGTTTCAGATGAAACCCTGCTCTCCAAGTGCAGCCCTGCACATGTATTTCGGTGACCAGCACGATGGTTTGGTTTGACCAAGGCTCTTCCTTAGTACCAGTCCTGCTCCAGGGTGAAATAAACCCATCTCTTCCCCCTCCCCTGAAACTCATCCGCTCAAAACAGTCACGAGTCCAAAGTAAAGGAGAAAAGAATCTGGCACCAGCAACCACAGTGCACTGATACTCTGTCCAGGAAGCCAAGGTCCTCACAGACACTCACCAGCGTAAGTAGCAATAGGTAGCTTCCACATTGTAGTATTTGCTCCCTGCCAGTGTCCCCAGCTGGTTAAAGGGCATGCCTGTCATGAAAGAGAGGGGCAATGGAATTAACTTACAATTCTACAATGGCTCTGCGAGAAAGCAGGTCCTTTCCCTCTCATTCTGTTTCCAAACACAGGGGAAGCCAGGAGACACAAACAGTAGTAAAGCTGCGGTACAAAGGTCTGGACTAATGGATCCTTTCGCCAGCCAGGTTTTTTTCCTGGTTTGTAGTGCTTTTAGACCCTCCTCACCCTCCTGCCAGTTATCCAAATAACAAAGCAGAGCAAACAAAGCCGCTTCCTCCTCTGTATTAATAATTCCATGGCCTTGACCCTGTATTCCTCTTGACATAGACATCATCTTATCAGCATTTAAGAGTTCTGTTCCAGCTCACTGTGGTACATAAATTTTCATCACTTCTTAGTATTTGGGATCAGCCTATCAAACAACTTCATGAGAACTCTGCAAAGACGGCACAAAGAAAACATCTTCCTGGAACTGCACACTTTTTAAGAGAAGACAGGCCCTCAACCCTTGCCAGAACGCGTTCTCATAAAGCAGTCACTTCTGCACGAGAAAACAGCAGGTGAGATTTTTTTTTTTTTGCAGGGGTAAAAAGAGGGAGATGACCAGTAATGCTCTGGCAATGGACAGCTGGACCTTCCCTTAGCCAGACAAGCACAACTGTACCACACTCACGGAAGTCTGAGCTTCTCGGAGGTTATCAGATGAGATAGTTGAGGTCATTGGCAAAGAGCACCTCTGCTTCAACTCTCTCTTTGGCTTGCCAGCAAGAGAGATTATCAGAGAAGGAAGTCATTTTAACTAGAGGATAAAACCACTCCTCTCTGAGCATCAGGATATGAACCTGACTAGTGTAGTATCACCGAGTCTTGTTTTCATGTTGTGGCAACATGATTTTTACAACTAAAAATTCATGGTAAATCACTCACCGATCTGCGGTGCAACAGAAAGGGCTTGATAGTAAAACCGCTCAGCCAGCAGCTCCGTGTCCACACCTGCCAGTTCATTCTGATAGCGAGCTGCAAGAAAAACCACACACTGCACATCAGAAACCAGAACACAGCGTCTTCTCTTCCCTGCTGCAGAGAAGCACAGTTTCCCCACAGAGTAAAAATACCACAAAACTAGAAATACTGGCCAAGTCAACAGATCCATCAAAGAACTGCTCTTGGCAAAACACAGAAACGTAGAGAGTCTTCCAGGCCCCTCAGAAGCACTTTTATTTTAACTGCGCTACTCTGCACATCACAACCCCTGCCACTCCAAGCAAAGAGGGTATCCCTCCACACTTGTGGCAGCATGTAAGCAAAAGGAAGACATTTTTCAGCTCCACATGTTAAGTGTTGATTCATTTATCCCTAAAATAACTCCGAGTTGTGCTCCATTTGCCAGTACCTCAAACAGACTATATTCTACTGCAGCAGAGTGTGAAATCCAAAGGGAGCCAGCTGACCTAATAAAACAGCCGGCTGTGGCTAGACCGAACTTTACTAAATTTTTTAAAAAAATTATTATTATTTTTTAAATTTTTTTGCAACAGTAGGCATTTTCAAAACCTTCGGTGAAAGCATTGTGAGGACCTGAGCACATTTCTCTCCCACCAGTCAGGTAAGTCATTTCTTTGCAATGCCATTTTCGGGCTGATTCACGCACAACGATAATGCCAAACAGCTTTCAAGAGCTTGAAGGCTGCTGCGTGTCAAGCACATTTACCCGCGCCACATTTCAAGTAGCTGTTTTTCACACAGTTACATGTTTTCTCGCTGCCTTCACCCCCACAATCAAGCAAGAAGCTGACACACTTACCACACACTTCGGGAGGTCGTGACTGTGGGATAGACACGTCTCTATAAAAGGGATGACACGCAGCCAGACACAATGACAAAGAACCTGGGGCTCTGCGGTGGCCTACTACTCTGGATTGATTCACAGGATTGCTTAACAAATCTGATTTTCAGCCACACTTGTGCTGATGACAATAGCTCCGTAAGGCAACCTCAAAGCAGGTCTGAACTGAGAAGTCAGCCCCTCTGAGTTTCCTTCACACTGTCCAAATAACATAAATAAAAGCAAAGGCTCCTATCGTCACACAGCCACAGATGTGGCTGTTTATCAACAGCAAACGCCTCGCCCACTCGCCCAAAAACAAAGCTTCTGCAATTCGTCGTGGTTTGGTTACCCACGAGGATTTCAGATTACACCAGGCACTGACAAACGTGTCTGGGGAAAACCAGTGTCTGCAAGTAACTGTGGCTGGTGACAGACAACGGCGGACTCAGCACCGTACAGGCACCACCTTTTTAACACATTAAGGGCTGCCCTGAAAGACGACGCTGTTCTTACCTAGATCTCCCAGATAAACCAGACATCTGTGACACGCCATCTGTGCCCACTCCATCTCCTTCTCCGATGCAGACACAGGTTTCTTGCAGCCTACACGAGAAATATGAAGACACGTACGCCGTTGGGTAAAGGCTGCCGGACAGACACACGAGCAGCCTACACCTCTGCCTGAGACGCCCAGCGTTTCACCGGGTGAAGACAAACACTGCATGGTCAGACCACACTGTTGGTTGCTGTCTGTGGCATCTTCGAGACCAGCGCCGGTACCAGCTTGTTGTCAAGATGCAGAAAACAAATGTAGAAAATACAGGTAGACACCGATGCTCGCCCACTCCCCCTTCAACTCCTGCTGCTGAGGGGCAGCGCGTGTCACTGCATCGCTAACAGTCACTGAAATGCCTGTCGCTCAGACTCCGTCTACAAGGTATGCCACAGAGAGCTGGCTCCACTCGCACTCACATGAGAGGAAAAAGGCCAATTCCCGTCTACAAGCCACGTGATTGTGTTAACACCGCATCCAGCACGCACTAATAAGGCCTGTTCAGAGGCTGATTTTGTTAGCATGGCTCATGGGGCCTTTGGATAGGAACCGGCGCAGATCCCTGGAAGGCAGAACCAAGTCTGAGCACACCTGCACCTGGCAGTAGCGGACAACGTGGACATACCCTGCCCGACACTGAAGACAAAAACAAACTGATCGTCTAAAGACTGAGATCTAGATTTAGGCCTGGCCAAGCAAAAAGGGAGGAAGAGAAGTAAAAGGAGGAAAAATCAGGACAGCGAATCTGTGTTGCAGACGGGGTATCTGCAGTCAGTTGGGAAGAACTGCCTCTGGACGAAACTGCCTTCGCGCACAGAGCAGGGCAACAACGCCGCTGAAGGGCTTGGAAGGCACGTCCTACGAGGAGCGGCACGTCCCACGAAGAGTGGCTGAGGACTTTGGGTTTGTCTGGTTTGGAGAAAAGGAGGCTGAGGGGTGACCTCAGTGCTCTCTGCAGTTCCCTGAGGAGGGGATGTGGAGAGGGAGGTGCTGAGCTCTTCTCCCTGGGATCCAGCAATAAGACACGTGGGAATGGTTCAAAGCTGCACCAGGGGAGGTTTGGACTGGACAGCAGGATGCATTTCTTTACCGAGGGTGGCCAAACGCTAGAACAGGCGTCCTAGGGAGAGGGTTGATGCTCCAAGCCCTTCAGTGTTTAAGAGGCATTTGGACAATGTGCTTAACATTTAACATTTGGTTAGCCCTGAATTGGTCAGGCAGTTGGACTATATGCTTGTTGTAGGTCTCTTCCAACCGAAATAGTCTACTCTCTTGTACTCTGAACTTACAAAAAAAAAAAAAGCACAGTTCAGGCAGTGGGAAGTGACAAAAGCAACAGTGGAAGGCTGCAGCCAGCTGATCTGAACTAACTTTGGCCATCAAACATGACTCAGTTCCTGGGAGGAGCTGCCACTGGCAAGACGGTGCTTCCCACCTCCCCTCTGGCACCTTCTCCCCACCCAGCGGGGCCCTGCTTCAGCCCGAGACCAGCAGGCAAAGGCTGCCGCGCTCACGCTTCCTCTCCAGTGAGCACCGACCGCCACCGCGCAGACCAGGGGCACGGAGTCAGGCTACCTTCAGCCTTCCTGTTGTCAAGGACTCCCACCTTCTGGAGGAGAAAACCCCCTAAAACAGGAATCCCAAAGGAAGATAATTTTAAGACCAGTCCAGCCTGCAGTCTGAGCTGCTTCCCTGTTGGCTTAGCTTAAAAGAGTGGAAGTGAAACCTCGAGGTTTAAGTGACCAGGGAGGAACGGTTCCCACTTGCTAACAGGCATTGTACGAGCTGTGTTATACAAATACCTGGCTTTCAAATCTACGTCCGTGTAAGCTATTGGACCTATCCGCCCTTTTTTTTTTTTGCTTTGGATCCTCCTGCTCCCATTTATATAACCATCAAGTTGTGTCCACCCTAATCTGTAGTTCATACGAGATTCTTACACATCTATCTTTTCTGGATATGCAAGGTTACATTTTTATTATCCAGTTACACACTCATCTGCTGCATCCTTTTAATTAAACACCCTAAGCACATTAAGAAACCTCAATAAGGGGAGCCTTTCAAATGTAATCACGCACCACAGGATACAAGCCCATCTGGAACGCACATTTCAAGAATTTATTAATTCTGTAGTACTGAGATACATTTCTCAAAGCAACAGTTGCCAGGGACATCTGCCTTTTAAACCGACATTTCAAAGCTGATCGTGACACAACCATCTCCCAGAACTAAGAATAGGATACCAGCAACTGAAATGTTCTACATACTAACTCTTCTTATGGTGGTTTCTGCCATCCTCCCCCCCTGCCAGCTTGACGAATGTCAATTAAACCCTTGCTAATAGTGCACAAAACATAGAAGTTCCATTTCTCACCTGGACATGCCTTGAGGCCACTGAGCACAGCCCAGAAGCCAACATGAACAAACTATTACAAGGTAATCGAGGATGTGAATGCATATGCAGCCCTGAGCTGTTTCAAGAATGTAAACACTCTTCTTCTTCCACCTCTAACAGGTAAGATACCTCAAATTACCCTGCATCTAAGGGCATGCACAGAGGTGGTTATCTGAGACAGCTAACACACCTTACTGTGTTACAGAAGCTTCCTCATGTCCTCAGTCCAAGACTCAACAGCAGTTTCAAAGCTACACACAGCACAGCTAGGAAGTATGTGAAGAGAGCACAGATAGAAGGGGCACCAAGAGGAGGAACAGTATCTTGCATCTAGTGAATAAGATGTCCTGACAAAAACCTGTTGATTTCAAGAATCTGTTCCCTCAATGGCCTGTTTCTCTGCTCTAATTAAGCTTTTTAAAACATTCTGTACAGCCAGAAGCGCTCTTCAGTTTTCCATAAAAATCTACCATCACTGAATAGTTACTAAAGAATCTTCTAATAACATTTTCTTCCTGTTAGAAACCCTTCTTTCTTGCCTAGTTTAGTAGTAAAAAACCCAACAAAACAACGCCATGGAAAAGACAGCAGGACAGACAGTCTGTTCTAAGCAGACAACTGGCTAATGGGGGGTGGGGAAGATAATCCCTTGAAGGCTGAAAGAAAGATGGCCTAGCACAAGAGGAAGCCACCTGTGCGGGATTCAGGCCTTGTCCCCAAGTCCAAGAGACTGAGCACTAACCTATTAGCGGGTCCGTTACGTGCGTCCAGTCGATACAGCACTGCAGCTCCAGCTGGTAGTGAGACTGGATGTAGAGGAGAAGGTGCTGGTAAAACCCTATGCCAGCCACTAAGTGAGTCCGGTACGCGCACTCCAGTGTGCTACGGCTGTGAATGTGCTGGAGGGAAGAAAAATGAGAGTATGTTAACGCAGTCCGGGTTTCTTTTTAGGCTGGCCACCCAAGTTATACCCAGTATGAAGCAAGACAGGGGGTAGTACTTGGTTTTGCACAGTTCTCTACCTCCTCTTGCTCAACAACGTTGTACCTAGTGGTATTTACTAAGGGTCAGCATCAAGAAGGAGAAAAACTTGCTGCAACCACAAATAAATAAAATCAAGGTGTCTGGCCAGAGCACCTTCAATACATTCAGACAATCAGATCACCAGGAGAGAGTTCATGGCACTAGAAAACACGTGTGAATACTGTGGGTATTTTCCAGTGATCAGCTCTAGTAAAAACAATCAGCACTAACAAAGCCTCTTAAGACCATCGCTCTACATGGAAACAGATGTCTTTTGAATATGGGAAGACAAAAATTAAGCAAATTATCCTAAAATATCTTCTGCAATGGCAGCTGTCTCAGCAGATCATTAAAGCTTACCTGCCCACATATAGACAAAAAGCGTATGTCAGCTCCACAATTAAAATTCCGGAGTGCCTGGCTTCCTGCCCTGTGTTCAGAGCACAACTTCTCCAAGCAAACGACGCTTTTAACTCGGTCTCACCCATTGCACAGCCAGAGACTCTCTCATGCCAGAGCCATAGATACCTGCCTTTTTATTTGTTTTAATGAGCTGGATAACTTCATAGTAAACTTTTCTCCAGAGCAGTTCTTCTGCTTTTCTTCCATAATCCACTGGATGTAGGAACATCAGCTTCACACACAGCTCCCGCAGCCTGAGACAGACAGCAGAGAATTCACACTTAGCTACAGCAGCTTCAAATACAGCTGCCACTGCATAAGCATGGCAAAGGAAAATCTGAATTCATTACGACGGACGAGCTAGGCCATCTGGTGACGGTACAGCTGGTATCACTCCCACACAAGAGCATCTGGAACAGCCATACACCTAACCAGTTACCTCGGCTCAGCTGGCCATCAGTAACTTCCTAAATCACAGTAATGTCAAGAATTGTCCTGACAGCTTAAAAAATTCGTAGGAAAAATCACCCCGCCAGGCACCCTCTGAACCTGATAAATGATTTCACACACATAGAAGAAGTCTCTTCACCACACAGTTTTTTAAGATAATTACAAGGAAGGCACCGGCCAACAAGAAGACGACACACTTTATTACGACAACATCCAGGAGAGCCTCCAGCCATGGACTATACGGTTAGGTGCCACTCAAACACAGATCTGAAATGTGGCCTCTGCTTCAAAAACCCGGAGGGATCCCAGGTGAAGTGGTGCCCTGCATATCGGGTACACCGTGAAACTGCAGATTCAAAACCTCCATGTCTTGCTTCACATGGATTTTCCCTCGTCAAATACAAAAAACAAGTGCCCTGCCCAACTTACTTGTTCCTCAAGCTGATGTTCTCCGGCTTGAACACTTCTTGATACGCTGCCTTGTTACCAAGGATGAGATCCAACCGATGAACGGCCTCTACCACTGCTCTGCAAGGTAACACAGAGAGAAGCGTTTCAGAATGGGAGTTATCTGGGATTATTTCACGAGATCCGGGATGTCTGCACAGAACCGTACCAGCCTAGCTAATTCCATTATTAGCAAGCTGCATTATACTGCCACACCATATTAATTGATTTTCTTTCTGTACTCTCTTTTAAAAAGCTTATGGAAAAAAGAAAAAAACAGTGTTACACATGCTATAATGATTTGGCTGCAAGTCAGCTGTTTAATCACCAGTTACCACTGCCTGTCTGGTCAAAAAAGTCAATTATTTCTATAGTAGCAAAGTCAGAAATGTCCTTGGACAAGTTAGCAACTTTTAACCCCAGCAATTACATCATGCTATACACACACTCAGATTAAATTAAATGTCTTAAATTCTCTGATTAAAAAATGGATTAATTTCTAACAATTACTGTTTTCATATGGAAAGAGTCAAACCTCCACCAATTCCTGCTTCTTGTCTATGAAAGAAGGCAACTCACATCATTCTCATTTGCCAAAACTTCATGATCTTTGTTACAGTGATTCATTGATTAAAGCCCTTAAAGATCTCTCAGTGATAGATAGAACTATTAAAAACCAGTCTAAAATGTGAAATTTGTTACAAGCTTTTTCCCCTGAAAGCCAGCTAAAAGACAGACCAAGCAACCTCCAAACATCTGAGTCATGTAAAAAAAAAACCACTTTTGTGAATCACTGTCCAAGACTCTGCTCCTGGAGGAGGAAAACCACACCGTGTGTAAAATCTCAAGCACTCGAAAGTTTGTAGCTGTGAACAAATCAGACTACAATTCCGGAACGTTGCGGTGAAATAAAACCGGGGACTTGCGGCAGCGTTAGTGCTGACAGAAAATACCCTCACCAGTATCTCAGGGACAGTTCGATAAAGCCAGATCGACCGGCCGTGCTAAACCCTTCCTACCAACAGAGATCATCTCTCAACCTCTGCCTTTGCTAAGCCCATATTTGAGGTCAGCAAACTGACTCCTGCAACGAACTTGTCCCAGCTGGTGACCCCACATGTTCCTCCAAGAAATACGTCCTCCGAGCCATCCCCAGCCGTCAGCTATCAAACTCCACGGGTCCTTGTTCTCCCCCTCAACTTCACACCTATCTACCCGCCACTCCTCGTTTGCTTTCAGACCTTTACTGCTCCCACTGCTGAGCCCACCGCACACGGAGAACCGTTTGAACAAGCAGCTGAAGACAAGCAAGATGCGCTGTAAATACAGAATGGGACAGACCTGATTAAGAGCAAATATCTGCAAAGCAGAACAGTCAGACGCTGCTACCGGCTGCTCCCCCTCCCCGAAATCTCCATCGTCTGCAGAATGCAAACTCCCCCGTCGCACTCGCAACGCCATGGCCGAACCTTCTCGCGCACACGCACAAATGGTTGCCAGACTGAACACAAGACACTCGCATGGCACCCGCAGGCAAGAGCACACAAAACCATCTGCTAAGGGGGGAGGCTGAAACCAGCACCACTTCCCTGAAAACTACAGATCTTACTGTAAAGTAACAGACGGCTTCATATGCCAGCACCTCACTAGCAAGGCAAATCTCCTTTCACAAACCCACCAACAGCAAAAGGAACCTCCCCCCAAAAAAACCCAGAACACCGAGGAGCTCAAAATGTCCCATCTCACGCTATGTTACGGGAAGACTCTCATCCCAGGATAACTGGAGATCTCTTTTGTTTTCAGAAAACCACAGAACCTGACAGAAGAAAAGAAGTGCAGGGAATAGGACTGCCTTACGAGATCAAAACACCACGGAGTTGAACCAACTTCTTCCCAAATAATCACAAAGAAAACCAAGAACAGTGTAAGAATCACACACAAAAGTCTGCTACTAACCTTGATATCCACAGCCACCTCTGCTCACTAGCATCTTTCTCATGTGGCCTGAAGGTCCTTTGCAAGCTCTAACAACCTATTACCCTCAGCAGCAAGCAAGGCAAGCGAGTAAAATGCCTTTTGATTCACAGGGAAAAGGCAGTAAGTATGAAGCATTCATCCAAGCTCACAGCATACTGCCAGGGAAGGGGGGGAGAGAAAAAAAAAAAACAAGCCACACACATATTTAGTTTCCCCAAAACACATCTCCACAAAGCAGCAGGCAATAAACATCTCCTTACTGCAACCTGCAATTAATGTCCTGCCACCCTGTCTCTCTAAGGCCCTCTGCAGCGAGCGCTGCAGCAGGAAACGTGGCTCACGGGGAACTGATTTGTTTCCTTTGCAGAAGGGTGACTGGCAGAAAGGGGAACCACTGATTCATTTGATTCCCAGAGAGAAGTACAGAATCACAGAATGTTGGGGGTTGGGAGGGCCCTCTGGGGATCCCCCA